TAGAAATACCAAAATGTTTGTTTCTTTTACCTCTTTAGGAATGCTCTAGGCCAGCAGATAACAATCACACGTAATTTGAGCGGGTCGTTGAATTCGGTTTCGAAGAAACATAGCATTTGTAGTTACATGCCATTGGTGTAAAGTACACTATAATCTATTCTAACACTTCTGCTTACTGTACATTTGGTCTTCAGTGCCTAAGTAATAATACTAATTGTTGGCGTTTAACGTCCCGAAACCATGACACCATTATGAGAGACGTCTTAGAAGAGGGCTCGGGAAATTTCGACCACCTAGGGTTCATTAACGCATGCCCCTAAGTCTAAGTACGCGGGCCTACAGCATGTTCGCCTCCATCAAAAATGCAGCCGCCGCCGCCGCCTGGATTCGATCCCGTGACCTGCGGGTTACCAGCTGAGCACCTTAGCCACTAGACCACCATGGGTCGAGGTCTTCAGAACCTTCGCACTAAATTATGTAAATTTCACGCATTCGTAGAAAGGGTTACGTTGGCAACATGGCTCCTATAACTAGAGAGGCTTCTAGCCTCTGTACTATAACGAGGCGGAACTTGAAGAATGTTGCGCATGCAGAATGTTATCTATTGGCGGCATGGTGTGCATCTCACTCGCGCTGGAAAGTGCCATATGCTTTCCCTTCATAGATGACATGGCGAATTTCAGCAATGTAGCTTCTAGAGAAGACCGAAACGGGGCGAACAGAATTGAACGGAGAGTATATTGTGGGACAATGTGAGCGCCTCATACAATGGGCTTGGCGTAAGACAAAGAATGGCGTACGTGAGTGACATCACCGCAGGAACTGCAACACACTCACGTTTGTTCAAACTGTGGTTCAAAAACATTCGTGCTCATAACGGCATCGGCGCTTTCTCCTGTCGGGTTTGAAATACGGCCGCTGCACCCGCCAGCGTCGCACAGGTTATGAAAATGTATATATCGCACTGACTAAATCCCTATGCGAACTACTAAACATGTAGACAACATTAAATACTTGTGAATTAAACTTTACAGTGCAAGCTTCACTGGAAAAAAAACCTATCCGTGCCGATTGCAAAAAAAAAAAAGCATTCCTTTCAAGCCATTAAACTTTGCTATACGTGCAAGACAATACTTCAGTTTGACTGCTAAAATATTTCTACTTTATTTTATTCTCACTCCAGGTACCGTTTCCAAAATGCCAAACATGCGCAACTTAACAGCGAATTTCGGCGTCTACAAATATGGGTTTTTCACATGACTACTTTTTTTTCCTTTTTTGTCTCATTCCTCCAGTAAAACAATCTGCTCTTTCAGCAATTACGCAAGCTGACAGTTACTGCTCTACGGTACTGTACGATATTCTACACCGGGGAAAAAATAACAAGGACCAATGCACCTCCGCCTCATTGCATCTTCATTTTGCCTCCACTAAACACACGACAAGCAACGGCGGCGATATCAACCGCCCTGCGTATACTCTAATGTCAGAGGTCGGTTTAGTTTTCCGCTGCTAATATTGTACCTTGAAGCCTACAACAAAACTGACATAGTGTATAAGCGCTATACTTCACGTCTAATCAAACATGGTCAGACCTTTATTGTGAGGTTTAACAGCCGTGTCTCGCAATTTTTGTACTTTATGGAATAAGCTATCTTTTTGTGCAGAAATATTTTGCTAACTTACGGAATTGAGACATATGTTTCAATATTGATATTCGATGTTTCATGTTTCACTTCCTATTTACACCCCCCCCCCCCCAATTATGTAATACCCCGTTAGGGGCCTTTAATAAATAAATAAATAAACAAATATTAATGAACGGTTTTTATCACTAGCACATTTTAGTACAGAATTACCAATCACCATCGTACTGGTGCACTTCGCAAGCCCATTAAGGCTATACTGGCCGGAACGTTTGAATATGAATTTTTTGAAATCCCGCTATAAAGTTATCTTTGACTTGACTGACTGATATTGTTACGTCGAGAGTACAGACCGAACGTCATTACCTCTGCAAAGGCAATCTGTGTCAAGGCCCACGAGCGAGCCCGCCTGACGCCATCTCAACGACGTCACCTAACCCGACGCGCCGGTGTGTCTTACACACCGCACGCCGAGCTCCCTCAACCCTCGGGCCCGATAGCAGCCCGATGATGCAAGCGGCGCAATCCAGTCTGGCGAGTTTTACACAATGCGTGGCAACATCACTCCTCTTTTGGTGCAACCCAGCGCAACGGCTCCAGATTTCAGGATCATGACGAAGCCCAGCAGCGGGTCCCCATTGGAGGATTCTGACGCGACCCGGCGGCAGTTCTCATCGGACGATGATGACGTAATTGATCACCTGTGGCCTATAAAGAACCACGTGGCGCTTCGCCAAGCAGCCGACGTATGCGTCAGAAAGAAGACATCTCGGCTCTTCGAGTCCCAAAGCTGTCGGCCCCAGTGCCGAATATGTAACGCCTCTATTTCTATGCTGTATATAAGTCTTGCCTTA